ATAGGGTTTCTGATGCTGAAGTCCTGATGTGGTGCTGTGGGTTAATGTGCCGGACTGCAAGGTCAATTTGAAACACAAGGTCAGTGGTTTAAGCTCATTGGCCACTCCTCAGAAACCCTATACAGAGTCGCTATGAGTGGGAACTGACCAGAAGACACATAGCAACAACAACAATAAATCTTTAAAGGACCAGAAGGCCTCACCTTTCTCCCTCAGAATGACTGGTGGATTCAAACTGCTAACCTTGTGCTTAGCAGCACATCATATAATCCACTATGCCACTAGGGCTCCTTGAAATTACACCATAGTTGGTAGGTGCCATCAACTTGTTACCAACTCATACCAGCCCCTATGCACAACAGAAAAAAAACACTGCCCAGTCCTGCACCAACTTCACAATTATTGCTATGTTTGAGTCCATTGTTCCAGCCACTGAGCCAATCCATATCATTGGGGGTCTTCCTGTTTTTCTCAGACCCTCCACTTTACCAAACATGATATCCTTCTCCAGGGACTTATCTTTTATGAGAAAATATCTGAAGTATGAGACACAAAGTCTAGCCATCCTAGCTTCCTAGTAGCATTCTGGCTGTACATCTTCTGGCAGCCCATTGCACTTTCAATATTTTCCTCCAACACCATAACTCAAATACATCAATTCTTATACCGTCTTCCTTATTCACTGTCCAACTTTCACATGCATATGAGGTTATTGAAAATGCTATGACTTAGGTCAGGTGTACCTTAGTCCTCAAACTGACACCTTTGTTCTTGAACACTTTAAACATTTGCCTAATACAATATGCTGTTTGATTTCTTGACTGCTGCTTCCATGAGTGTTAATGATTGATCTGAGCAAAATGAAGTCTTTGACAACTTCAATCTTTTCTCCATTTTTATGGATGCTATTTATTGGTCCAGTGGTGAGGAGTTTTGTTTTCTGTATATTGAGATGCAACTCACACCAATGGCTGTGGTTTTTGATCTTCATTAGTAAGTATTTTAAGTCCTCTTCACTTCAGCAAGCAAGGTTGTGCCATCTGCATATCGCAGATTGTTAATGAGTCTTCCTCCAAGCCTGATGCCATGTTTTTCTTCATATAATCCAGCTTCCACAGACTGAATAAATATGGTGAAAGGATGCAACTCTGTCTGACACCTTTTCTTATTGCTGAAACAAAGCATTTCCTTCATTAATGCTCTCCAATGCCTCAGATTATCACTGGAAGCAGAACTGCTACTATGAGTTTTAGCTGAAGTCTTTGCATCGAATCAGGAGTACACTGGGAAGTAATTATAATTTGTCATTCTTCAATTAATTCATTTTAAAGGTAATCAAAATCCTTCATAGTTATTTTATATTGATTGGTCTTGTATTATTGGTCACACCTTTACTCTCATTGTAGCTTCTTATCATCCACTTATTTTCTATGTATTCACTTCATCTTATGATGCTAAACAGAGAACTGCTTACTTTATTGAATAATATCTGGATAGTACAAGATTTTATAATAGTAATTGTTGAATAAAATAGCATTTTTTACTTTATTGTATAATATGAAAATGGAAACTCTTATTCAGTTCTTTTCTGATTTTGTAAAAAACAGATTTTGCTAACTTCACTATCTCCGCACAGCAAACAGTTGGGATTTAATCAGGAACCATGTAATAATGATTTATTGCATTTTGTTTTGTGAATTTAGTATGAATTTTATGGTCAAATATCTACCTTCCAAATTAAATAAACAAAAACACATTTTCTCTTTCTCATCAACTTTGCATATGTTGAATTTATTGAGCTATATATTGTATCATAAACACTACAGAATAATCAAATGCTTTTGGTTTTATAGTCCTTGGTATACATAAATAAAACACGCTTTTTAAAAAGGAAAATAAAATAAATTAGGAAAACAAAGTTTTGTTCCTGCCAGTTCTTCTCAAACAAATCATAAATATAACCACAAATCATCCACTTATCATTAATTAGCTTCCCCGTAAAGTTAAAGTGAGTGTAGAACACTCTTGGAAGCTTAGTGAAAGTGCCATAATCAGACACTTTCTTCCCAAAAATAGCTTTAAGAATTTACCTCACAGGGAAGAAGCAAATGAGCCCTGGTGATGCAATGTTTAAGCACTGGGCTGCTAATTTCAAGGTTGGTTGTTCAAATCCATCAGACTCTCTGCAGGAACAAACTGAGGCTGTTTGCTCCAGTAAAGACTCAGAGTCTCAGATCCCCTATGGACCAACACTACTCTATTCTACAAGGCTTCTATGAATTGGAAATATCTACATGGCACTGCCACCATTTATTTGTCTATTTGTTGTACTTTAGTGGCTTGTTTTGCTTGGTGGCTTCATAAATAGTTGTGTAGCTGGAAGCTATGACAAGAGTATTTTAAATACCAACAGGGTCACCAATGGTAGTATTTGCAGAGTTTCCACACTAAGGCAGAATAGGAAGAAGCAGAGGCGGACCACTTCAGAATGGCTAGTCACTGAAAATCTTATGACTAGCAATGAAACATTGTCTGATATAATATCACAAGATAAGCCTCTTAAGTTAGAAGGTACTCAAAATGCGACTGGGGAAGCCTCCTCAAAGTAGAATTGATTGTAATGATGAGGATGGAGTAAAGCTTTTAAGAACTTCATTAGCTATTGGTACACAATTCAAAACGCAAGAAACAACTGTCAGAATCCATTAATAATTGGAACATTGAACATATGAAGTATATATCTTAGAAAATTGGAAGTAGTAAAAAATGAAATGGAACACATAAAGATCAATATTGTAGGCATTAGTGAGCTAAAATGGAGTGGTATTGGCCATTTTGAATCAGACAAACAAATAGTTTACTACGCTGAAAATGACAAACTGAAGAGGAATGGCATCACATTCATCATCAAAAAGAACATTTCAAGCTCTGTCTTGAAGTGTAATGCTTTCTGTGATAGGAGAATATTTATATACCTACATGACCCACAGCTCTCCTGGTCTTTAGTTGTTAGTGTCTAATGCCTTAAACTTGTTCTTTAAATGGTCTCTAAATTTAAGTGGGATATGTTCAAGGTCGCATATAGGCTCTCATGGACAGGTTTTAATTTTCTTCATCTTCAGACTGCATTTGCATATGAGTTATTGATGGTCCATTATATAGTCTGCCCTTGGTCTTGTTTCGGATGATAATATTAAGCATTTCCACCATCTCTTCCCACAGATGTAATCAGTTTGATACCTGTGCATTATTTGGTGAGGTCCATGTGTATAGTCACTTTTTACATTGTTTAAAAAAAAAAAAAAAAGATATTTGCAACAGGTAAATCTTGCAAAATTCTATCATGTAATCTCCATCATCATTTATATCAAAAAGACCATATTTTCCAACTGCTGATCCTTCTTCTTTGTTTCCAGGCTTCAAATTTCAATCACCAGTAATTATCAGTAAATCTTGATTGCATATTTTATCTATTTGGAACTGAAGAAGCAGATCTTCAGTTTCAAAATCACTGGATCTTCCTTGTAGGTGTAAAAATATTATGCTATCATAGACACTGTTGTACTACAAGATAGATCTAGAAATGTTCATTTTGATGATGACTGCTACACCATTCCTCTTGAATTTGCCATTTCTGGCATATGATTATCAGATTCAAAATGGCCAATACCAGTCCATTTCAGCTATTATTCTTACATAGCAATCTTTTCTTGTCAGTGGAACAAACAAATATTATTGGAAGAAGTACAACTAGAATGCTCTTTGAAAGCCAGGATGACCAGAATTCATCTCCCATACATCAGTAATGTGTCAGGAGAGACCAGTCCCTGGAGAAGTACATCATGCACGGTAAAGTGGAGAGACAGAAAAAGAGGGAGACCCCAACAATGGATTGGCACAGTGGCAGCAACAACGAGCTTAAGTGTAGCAGCAATTGTGAGGATGGTGCAGGACTGGGCAGTGTTTCATTCTGTTGAACATAGGGTCACTGTGGGTTGAAGCTGACTCAATGACACCTCTTTTAGCCACAGAAGCTTTGGAGCCTGCATCTCCACAGACATCACACCCGCAACATACTGAAGGACGCTGAGCTTGGTTTCATTAATCCTGTGGACCTGACTCAAAGCTCGGTGGTCCAGACACATGATAAAATTTCAATGGGAATCCTCTCCATAGTTTACTGGTAAAGAATGAAACTGCATATGCAAAACAACCAGAGAACACATGGCATCAAACCCAAGTCCTTGAATTTGGTTTAAGTCAATTCCTTATACAACTTTCTTTGTGACAACACAGCACACAGCCCAGATGTCCTTGGAGGATTGCTTGTGGTGTTTGAACTGAGGTTCCTACTCTTTAATTGGCTTGTCTGCAAAATCCATGAGGACTCCCTTCTGGTCCGCAAGAGCAAAATATACACAGCCTGTTCCAACATCCACACACACATGATAACTCCTTGGATCCTGCTATTCATCAAACATTGTGGCCCTTCAACTTGTCCAACCTGAAATTACATTTTAACTAGTTGGTATCTGCAGAGATCGGTGTGGAGCCCCACAGCTCCAAAAGAAGGCAGTCCTGCCACCTTACATATCAATCTTTATGCACTACATTCAATCATTCATTTTTGACAACTTCTAATTTTCTTAGACTCATACTGCATACATTACATGTTCTGATTATTAAAGGATGTTGGCAGCTTTTCTCCTCATTTTGAGTAGGGTCCATCAGCAAATGAAGGTCCTGAAATTTACTGCATTCATGTCATGATGGTCAACTCTATTATGAAGAGATAGTTCTTCCCCAGTCATATTTTGAGTGCCTTCCAACCTAAGGAGCTCATATTCTGGCACTATATCTGACAGTGTTCTGCTGATTTTCTTGATGAAACATTACATCAAGAGCATCATACAAAAGCAAAAGATCATTAAAGAGACAAGAAAAAGTCTCCGCTGCTTCGCTGCTACTCAGCTACTCCACCGGTGAGAAGCATTGGTGTTATGCCCGAGAGACTTGGACTGATTCCCTTCAGGACCATCACCATGAACAGAGGCAGCACTTTTGCCAAAACTTCCAAGAAAGATACTCAGACATCTGACAGGAAGAGCAAGGCCTTCAAGGATATTTCCAAATACTTTTCTAAAGAAAAGTGGGAAGTGATGGGATACTCTGAGCAAGTCACCTATGTATATATGAAGAGAAACTTTGATGCCATTAATAATCTAGGTCTCAATGCTTCCACCCCATCTTTCATTCATTCTAATAGATGGACCCCCAAGCTGGATAACTCTGATAATGAAGAAAATCAGGAAGAACCTCCTCAGATGGCTTCCAGTGTGCAACAGAGCAAATATCTGGAGATGAAGTCCAAGAAGACATGACAAGATGAAAATGATCCGAAGGTAATAAAAGGGACAGCAGGCTTGATGGAAACTTCTAGTGAAGAACAGTCTAAGAAACAGCCAACACTCCTAAGTCAACATAATCAACAGATACCAGAACCCATAAAAGAGGAGACTAAAGTCTGGTCTCGCAGGCTGCGTGAAAGAAAGAATCAAGTAGCGTATGAAGAGATCAGAGAAACCAGTGAAGACGACTAACTGTATCAAAAGGAGTAAAACCTGGTGACCTTTCAAGAATGTCAGCCTATCTTCTATTATATCTAGTGTGTCATCAGTTGGGGTTGTCTACTCCCAACCATCAAATGTAATACAAGTGAAAGTAAGCTCACAGTAGTTAAAAGTTTAGTTAAGTTTCCATACTATGTAGCAAGCACTTGATTAGATATTAGAGTTTCATTGATGAACAAGACAGACCTCATGCATAGTTCTTTCTGGGTGTCTATGCACTTTCCTCAGAAAATAAGTCCTGTCAGATATAGTTTGCACAATATGGCACTACCTCCTCCATTACCAGATGTGACTATTGAGAGAACTGTTGTGTGTTTAATTCCAGACATTTTCTCTCTGTGTATTTTTTTTTACACACACAGGGTGCCTCTATGAGCACCTTCCAACTTTTCCCCAGTACCAACGTGTTCTGGAGAGATCCCTCTCATTCTGTCAACCTCATCTTTAATTTATTCTATAGCAGTTACAATTAATAAACATTTATGAACATTAAAAAAAAAAAAAAAGACAAGAAAGGAAACAAAAACAAAATGGTTGTGAAAAAAGACACTGAAACATGCTCTCCAATATGGAGATGGTAAAGTGAAGGGGAAAATTGAGGAAGTAAAAGAGTTGAACGGAAAATTTCAAAGGTCAGTTCAAGAAGACAAAGTCAAGAATTATAGTGAAATGGACAAACAACTGTAGTTTAAAAAACAAAAGGGAAGAAGACACTCCACATTTCTCAAGTTAAAATAACTGAATAAAAAAATCAAATCTCTACTTACAATACTGAAGGATTTAAAGGGCAAAATATTGAAAGATGCAGGAAACATAAAAAAAAAAAAAAAAGATGGAACATATGCACAGAGTCACTGTGCCAAAAAGAAAAGTTGATGTTCAACCATTTCAAGAGGTAACATATGATCAAGAACTGACAGAAATGAAAGAAAAAGTTGAAGTTGCACTGAGGTATTAGTGATGAACAAGACTCTAGGAATTGACAGAATACAAATTAAAGTCATTCAATAAACTGATGCATCTATTGCAAGAGATTTGGAAGACAGCTACCTGGCCAACCGATTGGAAGAAATCCATATAATCATTGAACAATATCATTAATACCACATGTAAGTAAAATTTTGCTGAAGATAATTCAAAATCATCTGTAACAAATAGTACATCCACAGGGAACTCACAGAAATTCGTATCAGATTCAGAAGAGGATGTGGAACAAGAGATATCATTGCTAACCTCAGGTGAACTTTTGCTAAAAGCATAGACTATCAGAAAGATGTCTGCTTGTACTTTATTGATTATTCTAAGGTTTTTGATAATATGAATCATGACAAGTTTTGGATAACATTGCAAACAATGGGTATTCCATAGCACATAATTGTGCACATGAAGGACCTATAAATAGATGAAGGCAGTAGTTAATATATAACCGGAGGACACCGAATGGTTTAAAAATCAGGAATGGTGTGTGGCAAGGATGTATTCTTTCACCATAATTATTCTATATGTATGTTGAGCAAATAATTCATGAAGCTGCAGTATATGAAGAAGAATGTGGCCTCAGAATTGGAGGAAGACTCATTAACAACCTCCGATATACAAATAATATGACCTTGCTTCCTGAAAGTTGTCTTATATGAATGAGGAAAACTGTAGAAGAATTGATGCATTTGAGCTATGGTGTTGGAAAAGAATATTAAAAGTACCATACACTGCCAGGAGGACAAACAAATCTTTCTTGGAAGAAGTACAGCTAGTATGCTCCTTAGAAAGAAGGATGGTAAGACTTCATCTATCATAATTTGGACACATTATCAGAAGGGACCAGTACCTATAGAAGGACAATATGCTTGGTAAAGTAGAGAGTTAGAGAACAAGAGGAAGACCCCCAATAAGATTGGTTGGCACAGGGGCAGCAGCAATGGTTTCAAGTGTAATAATTGCTAGGATGACACAGGATCCGGCTGCTTTTCATTCTGTTGTGCGTGGTGTTGCTATGAGTTGAAACCAACTAGATGGCACCTAACTGAACATGAACTTGAGATTATGAATGGAGAGTGAAGTTGTAGGACTCATCTTCACAATTTGATAATATGTGTAAAACATTGACCGTTGCTATAGACATTGTCTTAGTGCACATTGGATTGAATTAATGTAAATAAATTATTCACATTATTTAGGGATTTGACAATTTAGACTTTTTCTCCTCATGTTTTTGATTGCTGTGATAGTTAAGATTTTGTGCCCACATGACTGGGTCAGGATTCTCAGTGGTTTGACAGTTGTTGTTAAGTACCATCGAGTCAGTTCCTACCCATAGGGACCTTGCGGTGCAAACCAACTTTGCAGTCCAGCACAATAACCCACAGTGCCATGCTAGGTTTGACAGTTAAGATGTAGTAAGTAATTCACCATGATGTCATCTCGTACAATGAGATCAACTTCTTGATGAGATGTGCTGTGAGCAACCAATCAATTAAAAGGAAATTTCCTCAGGGGTGTAAACTCTTTCCAGTCTGTTTGGCCCTCAGGTAAAACTTGTTTGCTTGCTACTGGGTCTCAATTCTGCATCAGCATCAGCATCTGGATAGAGTTAGTGGCCTCTTCTATTGCCATCTGATCCTGGGAATCTTACCTGCCGGACCTGCCTGCCTATCTCTTGACTTGCTGAACTTGGTCTATCTGGCCCACAGATTTTCCCATGTCTACAACTGGACTCCCAGTGCGGCACTGTAGGATAAGCACTAAACTGCAAGGTCAGTTTGAACTGCAAGGTTGGTTGTTCCAACTCACCAGCCTAACCTAGGAAGAAACTCTATGCAGGGTTGCTAAGAGTCAGAATGGCACTTAAAAGCAACAACAACTGTGTGAACCATTTCCTTGATATAAACTTCTTTTTATAAATACACACACACACACACACACATATATATATAAGCTTCAAGCGTCACTAGTCTTCCTTCTCTAGAGAACCCAGCCTAAAACTATTATGTACTCTTATTAATAACATATGTACATCCAATATATGTATATTTATTTTAATTTGTATACATGGACTGTGTCTATTTGTATTATTACATAATATTTAACATTCTTATGTTTAGATACCAGGAGCTTAAGTATTTTCTTCCTGCTACCCATTAGATTGACTTATATAATATCTGAGTAACACAAACTCTTACTTTGGAGCCACTGAGATGAAATCTGGATGCCAAGGCATGCAGAAGAGTCAATAAGCTCTTCAGGATTCAACAAGTACACACCTGTTTATAACAGTAACTTTTCTATTCCTAGAGTACTGTTGCCAACATCAATAAGAATCACCACTTTGTTTCAACTCTGCAATGTTATCCCAGTCAATGAATGTTCCATTTCTAAAAAAGCACATACAGCAATGAAAACTCTACTAGCCTGATAATCAGGAGACTTGGACTTTAATATGACTGATTAGTTGAGAAACCTTCAGCAAGTTCTTTATATCTCTAGGTTCTTACGTTATACGTGACAAGAAACAAATCTCAATCCTTAGGTACCTTAAAATAATAAACATAAAGACAAAGTGCCTCCAAAGCATGCCTGTTGACAAAAGAGCATGAAACTGTTTAAAGAGGAGACTTGATACTAGAATTAATGGTTTGGATATTATGAAGATAGCTAAATAAATGTACTTAGTTTCCTGGTACAGCTCCTTGCTCTCCCCTGTCAAGCTGTGATGACTGGTAAATGATTGGTAATGATTGATCTCTGGAAAGTAGTTCTCTAGAAAGAAAATGGATGGTTTGTAAATATAGTAATTAACCATAAATACCTTAAATACCCACCCATCAGTTTTAAGCATTGACAACTCTTCTCCCATAATTTAAGATATAGCTTTATTTTGATTTAAGGTCACTAATTTAATTTGTTGTTGTTGTTAAGTGCCCTTGAGTCAGTTCTAACCCATCATAACCCTGTACAGGGTTTCCAATGAGTCACTGGTGAGCTTTAGCCACCAACCTTGTGGTTCAAACCAACTTTGCAGTCCAGTGCGTTAACCCACATTGCCACACCAGGACTGATTTAATATAGTTTAATTTAGCTACTTCTATGTATTTATCGAAAATGATTCATTGAAACCTATTATTTAAATGGAGTCCTGGTGTGGCACTGTGTATTAATGTGTCAGACTGCAAAGCTACTTGAATTGCAAGGTTTGCAGTTCAAGCTCACCAGCTTCTCCTCGGAAACCCTATACAGGGTCACTATGGGTCGGAACTGATTTGATGGCACTTAACAACAATAATTATTCAAATAGATGCAAGCATATGTAATATCCTGTATATTCTACCAACTCGATTCAACTGTCTTAGAAAGCTTAATGTCCTTCATATATCATAACAAAACAAAGTATAGTTTATTATTTTGTAACAAATACATGTTATAATTGTTGTTGTTGTTAAGTGCCGTCAAGTTGGTTCCGACCCATAGCGACCCTGTATAGGGTTTCTGAAGAGCAGCTGGTGAGCTTGAACCATCAACCTTGCATGTTATAATAGCAATTGCATATATTGCACTTTGCATTTTGAAAGTGGCTTCATATATTTTATCTCAACTCTACTGACTTACATAGAATTAAATAGCTAGTATACAATGGAGAAGAAACCAGACTTAACCTCTGTAAAAACTCAACTGTGTCCTAAACTGTGTCTTAAACTGTGGCAGAAATCATTCTTGAAATTTATAGATTATTGCCTATAATAACTGTTGATGATTAT